ACACCTAGATACTTAACATTCTTTACTTCAGTCAGCACTGTGCCTTTGATGCTGTAAAAAAAGGATAACGGGTCTTTTTTACGTGTCATGCGCATGAAGATAGTTTTTGATGCATTCAGTTTCATTTGTCACTCATCGCACCAAAGACTAATTTTTTACCAAAGACTAATTTTTTTGTCAATGGCTATCAAGCCCCAGCTGCTTGACAGTGGAGCTCATCTTCGGGTACACAATGGTGTCATCTGCATAATGTTTTATAGCTATTTGCTGGGAAAATTCGGCACCCATGTCACTAATACAGATAGAGAAAAGTAAAGGGCCTATTACGGACCCTTGCGGCACGCCTGATCTGACTGGTCTATTGGTACTGGAGGCATTATTTATTTCAACAAATTGTTGTCTATTTGACAAATATGCCTCTATCCATTTTAATAGCTAACTGTCACCAGCCAAACAAGACAACCTTTTAAGCAACTTTCTGTGAAATATTTTATCGAATGCTTTTCGGAAATTAATAAATATGATGTCTACTTCACCTTTTCGATCTAAACACTGACCAATTTTATGCGTAACTTCAGTATGGCTTTAAATTCTGGAATACCCTTTGCGAAACTCGTGCTGATTATAACCTGAAATAGCATTTTCTTCTACAAACTTCATTAGGTGAGTAGTGAAAATGTGCTCCAGTGTTTTACAACAAGTACTTGTCAAGGAAATTAGTCGGAAATTTGTGACGTCATATTTGGGACCCTGTTCATGGACTGGTATTACCTTGGCCCACCTCAAATCTATCGGAACGTCACCGGATTGAAGTTATTTTGTTAAAATGTCCAACAGAAAAAAAATGAACACCACTCGGCAGAACGCTGGAAATTTTACCAGGTCCTGGGCCTTTTTTCACATCTTCTTTAAGTAAAAGACCCGCATTTATCGACCGACTGGCTGAATTTTCAAAAACGACAATAACTTTCCCGACACATAGAGCATTTTATCTGATCGTAAAACGCTTAAAGGTTCAAACCCATATTTTCATCGCTAATAATTCATATTTTAGGCAGAGCTGAACACAATAAATCATGATTAAGTGCTCTAGCCTTGTAAAACCCGGCTCTGAGGGTTGCTTTCTCAGAAATACTACTGCTAAGTATTGTAGAAAAGAGTGCTTGAAACTTCTATTTTAAATTACAAAAAGTAAATAGCCAGCCCTCAGGATCATATCTGCGGGAAGGTCCTCGAAGAAGAGACCAGCAGCCAGGAACTTGCTAATTGATTGTTTTGTGGGGTTCACCATGCCAAAGCCACCACTTAATAATGAGAGCCACCGTAGTGGTGGGCTTCAGAAATGTCGACCCCCTGGTGTTCTTTAACGTGCACCCAAATATGAGCACACGGGCCTACACATTTTTCGCCTCCACCACAAAGCCAGGAACTTGCCCCTGGCATCGGTTTGAATATACAGGTCAAGAGCACCGAAAGCTAATGAACGAACACAGAGGCCACGCAAGGAGACCTCTGGCCATGTTTGTAGATTGACTGGGCATGGCGTCTAACGTAGTTTTGAGAACTGTGGTTTGCACAAGAACCGTATAAGGTCGCTGATTCTGGGGACGCTAGCTTGTAGCGTTAGAAGCGACAGCGTTTGGTGGTGTGCATTTTAATTTCTACCATCTGGGAATGTAAAGTTTTTCAGGCCACCGAAACTCCACGAGGAGTCGTTCTTCTGGAATGACAGATAGAACAAATTGGATTCGATGTTAATTCGAGAACGCAAACAAGCTGCCTTTCGATGCGCTACAGTTTCAGCCTCGAGGAGATTTCTTTTTCATTTCGAGCAGAGCAAGGCACGCTATGAGCACGTTGCCGGTCGCTACCCATGCATGAGTGCCATCTTAGCACAATTCGGAAAGAGTAGATGTGGCTCGGAAGACCCCTTTCTTAGAGCAGCCATTTTTTTTTCGCGAAACTACGATTTCGTGTTGCTATTGACTCGAACAGCAAGTGAATTTGTTTAGCAAAACGCAAGAAGTATGGAGGTGATGCACCAATGAAAATAACTGAGCGAACTATCCGCTTCATTCCGGCATGTGTTTCCTGTTCGAACTTTCTTCCATTGAAATATTGGAGTACACGTACTTCAACATCACACTTTACTCAATCTAAAAGTCAGGGCATTCTACACGGACACTAAACAGAGGTCTGGATACCACAAACGCGTCTTGAATTCCTTATTGTGTCCTAGGTTGCGCGTCGTGTCTTTTAGAATGAATAAGTACCTGTTAGCCCAGCTCTGTTATTCTATGCTTTATATTTGACTTTCGCTTCTATGTACATCTATCATCTTGGCTGCAATCTTGTTTTCTTCATTGTTGTTGGGCTGCTAGGTCTATTCCCTGAGATTCTTTATTAACACTTGCATGTGTGACTTCTACATTTATTGAATTTGGGCCTCATGGCCTCACAACTGTGACCTGTGCTTCTCTTTCAAACCTACCTTCATCAATATGCTGTCAAGAACAAAAATAATGTCAATAACAAAACTTCAATAAGATTGATTACTCGTGCTCCCAGATATCCAATTCAAAGACATTTTATTCCACCTGGTAATACATGTGTTTGATGAATTAGCCGATACAATGTGTACTTTCAAATTCTGAAGAAAACAAGATGAGGTGTCGTGCACTAGAAAGTTGGCAGAGGTGAAGACCTTTACATTTTCTTCTGAAGCGTATACTAACTCGAATATAATTGCGGATATGAGCATTTTGTCATTTTGTATATCAAAACCTCTTGTTGTGAAATTACCAGCACTCCTAACTCATAGATTAACCCTCTGGAGAGCAAGAATAATCTTCCAAGCTCTGGATCTTTCGAAGGAAATAGAAAAATAGAGAGGAAATAAAGTAAAAGTGGGTAATTAACTAAACTACGTTCGCTTCGAAAACGTACACGAGGAGAGGGGAATGTACGAGCAAAAGGACAAGAGAAATATATAGGAAGAATCGGAGACATCTTTCGCAGCAGCGCAGCGTTTAAGAGGCGTTTGCTTAATGTTGCTGCTTTCATGTACTCTAAGAGTGGCGTGGCTTTATAGTTTTATGTGCTGAATTATTTGTGAATTATTGATTATTGGTGTGCTGGATTATGCAGAGAAGTTAAAGGACAATGATTATGATACGGCACAACCAACGAACCATAAAGACAGATGACGAAAAATACTCGAAGACCAATTCTTCATCGTATGAGTTTACCGTCCCTCGGCTGCACCGTTTAATGATTATGAACTCTTTCGAAATCACTCGACTATCAGGGACGCTAAGGATAAATTGATTGCTCTTTCAGAATACTAAGATACCCGATGATCGCAACTATGCGACATTTTATAATAAAGTGCAGGAAGATTCTGGCACAACGGGGGCAGTCTTTGTTCGTTAAGCTCATTTATCAGCACTGAAACATGAAGCAGTGCTACAGCTCACATGATTTATACTGCACACCAACTGTGCCTTCAAACTACTGAATAAAATAACGTGCAAATAACTAATGTCATAGAACAAATCGTGGTCATTCACTTTATTGCATTGAGAAATGTTCATCCTGATCCCAGAAATGTTTAGTCACACTCCTGGCTAGTCTTAAGGCTGACTTCCACAGGCAGATAGTTTGGTTGAGTGCTGCGGTTAGTGTACGTGTACTGCCGAAATGCTAGTTTACCGCCGCTAGTGCTTTGTGCGCGATTATGTGAGCCGAACGAACTAACGCAGAGTAGTCCTAAGCAGGATTCAGCCCATAGGACAGGGTGCCAGCCGATAAACAGAAGTCGCAATTTAACAATGTGTTGTCAGTTAGACGGGTTTATATTAAACAATGGGTGGAATTCAGTGGCCCACTGTAATTTGGCACTTTTACCATGGGTGGTTGTTGCATCATACACAAAAAAGTCTTGCACTGCACCTACCTATACATACATCTGGTAACAAAAGTGTGGGTGGGAGTGAGAGTGCTGAGTGGCGTACAGTGTAAACTTTGTAATACTTCGCACATGTTGTGTACACGTTTGTGCACGTCCAACTGATCTTGTTTGTTCCATGCTAAGCAAAAAAATATTCCCTGGCGCATGTTAGTACTGCGAAATATTTGTTTTTGTTTCATGTGGCATAAACAATTAGTTTCATACTTACGTGAAAAAGCTACTGGATGGCTTGTAAACCGCGCGCACTCCTCTCAATCGAACCAGAGACTACGTCTTTTACAGTATTGAATTAATTACAGCACCTGTACGGATTATATGAAAACTTCATTGGGGAGTGCGCTAGTGGACAAAGCATTTACTTCAATCCTGGCTTATTTTTCCTCGCAATGTGTGCCTGCTTCCTGTACGATACTTTTCGGCGACAGCCTTGCTTGTTCTTTGTCGCAACACCAGTGTCAAATGCATGGAAGGCTACATGTGGTTAAACGTTGTTGTTATTCTATCCGACACACCAAGTTGTCCGCAACGTGGATAACATATGCGTTATAAAAATATGCCATTATGTTTACTTCAAGCAATCGTATTAGGCTGAATTCGCACAAAACTTTGTAAAATTGAATGTTTAACTTTGTTCTGCACAGAACTTGGTTCAATTTTCGAACATTTTATTCATAAAGCACACAAGTGTTATGGTCACGCAATGTAGTAAGCAATAAAAGTCTGTTTTTGAGAGTTACTGACCAGTATAAACATGCGATTGCGCATATGCTCAAAATGTCAGCACCATATTTACCATTGATAAATGAAAGGTCTCCACCACAGCTGTCATTATAAAAAAAAAGAGTGCAGGTAAAGCTGTAAACACTTGTCATCAATCATTTTTCGTTGAAGATTGGAGCACACAGTAGGTCGCCATTGTTATTTCTTAAAATTGAAAGAAGATAGTGCATAGAAATAAAATTACCAACATTACAGTTGCGATAGCTTCCTCCGTATAAAGGTCCAGTTATGGCGCTGATAAATCTTTATTTCCACCTTTTATGACGAGCATCAACAGGAGAACCATGCAAATAGAGAATGACATCTTAGTTCCCTTGATTATCATATGTTATATGACAGGATCCAGCCAGTCAATATTCATAAAGGAAAATGAATTCAAAGTGGTAAGCAATGGTCATTGTTTTTCGTATTTTGCCTCACTTTATAAGCACGCATTGTGATGACTAAAACGTCAAATATACGAGCATATCTGTTTAATTACGCGCGCTATCAAATTTCCTAAGCGACTAAACAGAGAAAACATTAGGCAGCAGTGTGGTACTGGATTTATTCAATATTTGAGTAAAAATTGATACAGTGCAATAGACAAAGAAACACATCTCTCACGCTTACTTTCATTATCAGTTTTTTTTTCTTTAGTGACACTAAAGGCTCAATAGTGTTCATAAAAATTTGTGTAGTTGTTTTCCGAGCTGTGCAAACAGCACTCACCGTAAGTTAGCGTCTTAGAAACTTGCGTTAAATCTACTAGGACACCAAAAGACAGAATACACACATTTTCAAACGACGTCTAATTGTTTTCAAAGCAGGTTCAAAGATCTCCGCGCGACGATGTTTGTCGATTATTGATGATTATTGTAGTAAAGCTTCCATGCTCGATAGGGTTATCGAGACTTTGCCTCGAAAGCGTCCATGCATGTTTGCTATTCTTAGACCGACGTCACCAGCTAGTTTGTGTGGCTGCCCACGGTTCCACATTAACATTTCAGGAGTGAAAGTTCACAACCACTTTTAGCGTATTCTCAAATGGTTGGTTGGTTGGTTGCAAAACTTTATCGTGGTCCTGCAAGGTGCGCGTCAGCGCGCAGCGGGCGACTCCCACGTCAAGACTGTTAGGCCAAGCCTATTGGCCGCTATGTCGTCATTCTTTCCGTACTGCACTTTTTTCTAAATAAGCATCTTTTTCACACAAGATGTGCGTCTTCAAACTGCACGTTTTTACGTGACAACCGTCATATTTGTATTCAGCGTAGCTCTGCGCTAAGCGTCGTTTTAACTGAAGAGTCGGCTTTTGCTAAGCTGAATTTCTCCGGTTAGTTCAAATCATTGTTGAAAAAACTTTGAAAAAAAAAACGTTACCTAATTCGCTGTTAGTATCTTGAGGTTGATTGCACAAAGGTACACAGCATTTCTCAGGCATCCGAACCAAACAAAAGATATATATTTAGAAAGATAGTCTTTGTTTACTGAATCAGCCACACTAAACACGCGTGCTTTCTGCATGTGCGCATCACCCTTGCAGCATCGTCTGCTCATCTACACATAACCAAGGTGACACTGTTTGTTGCGGTAGCGTCTAATACATTGTACTGCGCAAATCACGCAAGGATTGATCCCCAAAGACAGCAGCCCTCATGTTGGCCCTGCGGCTGCTTCACATGACTACCGGTGCGTGACCTCTATGCTTGAGAAATGTGCGATTCGATGTGCGAACCTATTTGGACAGCAGAACATCACGGTGTTAGGGACGACTACAGCAAATAAATTGGACGCGCATCACTGAATCTATACTCATCTGGCATATATTACGTACCACTGTAAGTACTTTATTGTAATTGAAATGAGGTGTGCTGTTGTTGACTTTGCAGTATTGTCACACGGTGACAGTTGAGTTTCAAGGTGGTCATATGTCACAGATAGAAAATAATCGTCACCATGACCCCACACGTGTCAGCCTCGTTATCTTTGTCATTGCCTTCCTCTTTTTCCCTTTCTATTTCTTATCAAAATACGTATGCTGATTTGTCCGGCAAGCAACAAGATTCTCATGTGCAAATGAACGAATTCTAAAAGACATAAAAAGAAAAAAATGATTCGCAAGAAAGCAAAAGAGATAAGTTTTGGTGCGAAATGTCTTCAGCTCAGGCTAGGTTGTGACTCTCGTCTCCATGATTTAAATTCGAGCGTCGTTACCACTTGGTTGTCTCGACACGCTGCCAGAACAAAACGATGCCTTGCAAATTACATTAGAGCGAAATTGTGGGAAATGGCAGTGGGGGTCAGCAAAGAGACGCAAAGAAGAATGAGAGACCGAGTATAGACGGAGAGACAGACTGTTGCATATATTATTAATATTTTATTATCTCAGTTTCAACGTCCCAAAACAACGATAGAATTATCTGGGTCGCTGTATTGCAGGGCTCCAAAAAATTTTGACGTGCACCAACATGGCACAGTAGACGGGCCTATTGCGCTTCGTCTTCACCGAAATGCAACCGCCACGACTGGGATCCGACCTGTGACCGTCAGGTTAGCAGCCCGAACATCGTAACCGCTCAACCACTACTCCATACGTATATCAAGAAATAAAAGCAGAAAAATAGACATAAAGGAAGTTAACTAATAGAAAAACACAGGAGGTGAGAGACCGGCTACAGTTTGAAAAGAAATCGTAAAGAAAAAGACACAGACATAAATGAAATCAAACGTGGAAAGGGAAGGAAAACATAGAGCTATAAAAGTCAAGAAATTTACCGCAGAACTATAGATATGGAGAAAGCAATAATGAATAAAAAATAAGAGACAGAGACTTTAATATAGTCTATAAAGAAATATACACCAAAAAAAGTCAGAGAAAGTAGCAGATGAAAGAAACAGAAAATGAGAAGAACAGAAAACTAAATAGATAGAGACGGAAGAAAGTATAAAGCGGCAAACGCAACAGCAAACCATTTAAAAAGATAAAAAACATAGCCATGTATGCTACAGAACAGCAAGGCAAATGTGATTCGGCGTATAGTGCAGAAAAACTCATCTTTATACACCGGCACCTCTCTCTTCACAATCCTCTGCACTTTTGTCTTCGCCAGCTTTGAGCCCACCGTCTCTGTTATGATTCTCATGACATAACTTGTGCGACTTTGTTCAAGCTGCGTCAACTTTAGGTGGATCTTCGTTGATGCAGTGCACATGAGATGACGTCGAAAAGTAAGAAACACAGATCAGTGCCCACACTGTTTTTCTAGTCCTTCCTTGTCGTCTCGTGTGTGCTGTAACAACCAAGATGAACGCGTACCAACTCGCTCAAGCTTCCATTGCAAAAACTTCAAGGGCGTCAAACTTTAGGCAGCTATAGGCTGTCGCATGCTGTTGTCATTACTCGACAAAACGCTCCACAAAAAGCATATTCAGAGTCCGCTCGCGACAAGAAGAAATCTTCTCCGTCTTGTTCTTCGAGTACCTTGATGATTATTAGACAGCGTGCGCTCACACCAAGAAGATGTCTTCTGCCGCTCGCTCCCCCCGCACGTTAAAGTTCATCACGTATTTTCATCAGCAAAAACAATTATTGTCCTTGCATAACAGCGGCAAAACTACATATTCAAAAAGAAAACAAAAACAGGAAGTAAGTCCAAATTTGTAATCGAGAAAAAGTGGAATTATGGAAAGAAAAGCAGGAAGAATAAAAATGATCGGATAAAGAGAAAAATGAATAAGCTATTAGAAACACATGAGCACATGAGCAAAGACAGAAAAACAGATAAGGAGAAAAAGTAAGAGAGAAGGAAAGAAAAATAAAACACACGAGAAACAACGAAGGTTGCCTAGATCTTCACTCGCTTTCTTCTGGGCCCCTAGTAGCACGAAGCTCCCCCAGTTTGTTTTTTGTTTTAAAATGCCACCATCCCATGACGATCAACTTAATGTATAAAATGAGTTCACCTACCCTCTTTGTTCTAGCGAATATGCTGTAACATGAGTAATACAAAAATATTTTTTCGCATGGTGGGTTCTCTGACATACAACTGTACTCGTTATGAAAAATAGCAGTTCGCTTGCCCGACATATTTCAACGAACGACGTAACACTATTGACGTAGGAGTGATAAATGGAGATTAAAATGCATTTAAAGCATGCTTACTTTTGGCTTTCATCAAAACGAGAACCTCCTGTTGCACAATGCTAGCACTTGTTTTTGTTGAACCTATTGCGTATATGCTAAGGGGTATCCACAAAATGTCGAGGATTTTTTCAACCACACTTCCTCTATAAACATTGAAACGTGTGCTTTAAAGGTAAGATTGCTATTAACAGGCCAAATAGCAACGTGAATTAATAGGCTTTCATTTTATTTCAGTTCTTAAACACAACGCAACCTATATGGACCGTCAACACGACCAACAAGAACAACAAGAATTTCTGCATTGTCGACGTCACAACAAAAATGCTGGAAGAAAATATCCTCTATTGTCACTCTTTCTACGTCGACCCCACGATGAAACAAAAGTATAGTGTTATTTCACAATATGTTCCTGAGCACAACTCAACATGTATATTTTGTTTGCAGGGTTTCCGTTGAAATGGAAGGCGCCTTTAAATATAGCAATAAAATGCTTGCCACACCACAAGGTAATGAATATATGAAGTTTGTTCATGCAATGACACTCCCAAACGTGGTATATTATATTGCCACACGTGCTCCTTTCTTCATTTGACGTTTCGGGCACATTGGACGGGCAAATACTTCCTGTAAAATTCACGCCGAAATGTCTAAAATTATTCTAAACCAGCTTTCTCATCATCTGTTCGGTGTGAAGGAGACAACGCGAGCAGCTTAGTCAATTCTGCAGTAAATTAGACTACGAGCGATAACATTCAAACTTTTGACGCCTTGTCTACTAATTCTCAGGCCCTTTTCCGCGGATCAGATCGACGACGGATGACACTTGGTTCGCCCATGTCCGTGTACAGCGCGCTTATATCCTGCTCTAGTTTGAGTTTCCGTTTTTCTGCTGCAAGTTCAGCCAAATACAGAGTTTCACCGTGAACAAGCCTACTTATGTTGTAGTCCATGCCATGACCTCATGAAATATTGTGTCTATGCTCGCAGAGCAGCGATAGTTTTTTTAATTGTTCGCTGCACAAGCATACAACTAACACAATCCATGGCTGACCACCATACTTAAGATGTGCCCATAACTCGTTACCACAACTCACTGCGAAACGTATTCTCGATTTCGAACGCTCAAAGTAACAACGTCTAACTGAATAGTATGAAAACCAGGAAATCTCAACACTTAGCTCTATCATTGTCCACAAGTTTTGTAAGCGAATAAGCGGCGAGGAGCCGAGACATAGCCACTATAAGATTCGAGAAGTAGGGTCGAGTTTAGTTGTAGCTGGCTTTTCTTGTGGTTGGCTGGTTGGTATGTTGGTTTTAACGTCCCGAAACCACCACATGATTATGAAAGACGCTGTAGTGGAGGCCTCCAGAAAGTTCGATCACCTGGGGTTCTTTAACGTGCACCCAAATCTAATCACGCGGGGCTACAACATTTCTGCCTTCATCGGAATTGCAGCTGCCGCAGCCGGGATTTGATCTCGCGACCTGCGCGTCAGCAGCCAAGTACCATAGCCACTTCACGACCATGGCGGCGCCTTTTCTGTGGTCGTGGATCAGAACCAATGAAAGGAACCGGTCGAATAGTGGGTGAATTTACCAAATTGTATTTCTAGTTTATTTTAGGAAGACACTATAGTTAACACATTGATTCAAAGAACTAGTTATGAATAATGAAGTTTTCCAAGCAAGGAATTCAGGTAGAAAATATTTTAGCCTCGTTAATTAGTTTTTAAATCACGACGAAAATATTCCAATTGCAGTATCCCAGAGTAATGGCCCCAAAAGATAGGGTAACAGATTCTGACATTTCCATGCCCGGCTTGCGAAGAGCTGGCATTACTTTTTACCGCAATGTAATGTACCAGCAGTGAGATATAAAAGATACCCAACAGTTGATTTCCTCATCATCACAGATAATGCACATAGCGAAAGATAATAAACCTGTTATGCAAGTAGATGCTTAGGGAGGTAACACCACAACAAATTTTCAATGTGGTGCAGAAGTATATAGCGCAAAAAAAGACAGGGACAAGAAAGTGAACACCACAAGCACTTACTCACAACTGAAAGCTTTATGGCTTGAACAAAAAATACATAGCATCTAAACTTGACGATTGACTAAAACCTGCACATGCGCTTCGTGGGCGATCCAGAAGAAACACACCAGCTGCAGCCCCCCCCCCCCCAAACGCGCCACCCTTTTTCCTTGAGTAGTTTCACTGCTTTTTCCGATAAGGCCAAAGAACGAATACTCACGCACATAGAAGCCTTCGTGTGAATATGTATGTAAAGCCTTAGCAAGTTCTCATGTCGTGCGATCATGGTGTTTAAACAATATCTCCGTTGCGGTGAACTGTGCATAGCACTGGCATTAGGCGCAGTGTATGGACATGTGCGCAAGGGGTTTCCCTCGCAAGGACGACTGAAGATTACTTACACACTTGTTTAAACATTGACTTGTCTGGCCAATATAGACATGACCACACGACAGAGGGATGCAATAAATGACGTTGGCCTTGCAATACACGAACCTAATTTAGTGGGTAATGGTGCAACCAATTGTCCGGACGTTATCGAGCTTGTTGCCGACCAATTAACATAGCCTGCCTAGCTTGTTCTTATAGCAGACAAGAACTACCTTCAAGCCAAACGGCTGGCCTGTCTTTTCAACCTGATGTGAGATTGCGTGTACGTATGACGTAACATACATTTCATCATTTCATCAGTTATTATGTGGAAAAATATTTTGAAATGCCTAGGAATAACCGTTGAGCCCTTTGAAAATTGCGGATAATGCAGAAGGCTTTGTTCTGTAGGACGTTGGGAAGCACGCAGCAGAGAATACATAGGATCGAGAAATCCACACTCGACCGTCTTCATTCTCCAATTGAAGAGGATCAACTGTGAGCAATCGCTCACTCGAGTAGGAACTGCGAGCTTTGATTATAAAAGCGTGATTGCCATCACTGGTGCATGTGCTATCTCGGCAGTCATCAGCTTCCGACTTGTATACTCTCCTACGTGGCGCCCTCTCAACGTGAAGAGATTGTACGAAAAGGGAATATCTCGATAGAGCAGCCGTATTCCTCAACAACAGCGTTTTCTGAAGTTGCGCGATATCGGATTTAAAAGTTAGCTCGCAGCCTGACTTCGTGTAACACTTCAATTTGCTGTGGTCGCATTCGTTGCTTCATCCATGTGGTAAATGCGTAATTTTTTTTTTCGGCAGATTGTGTTGCTATTCATACTAGGTTGATGTTAGAGAGTTTGATAATCAAAGGTTTTCATTGCATCATTGCGGCCAAGTTCACAATGATTTAGAAGATGTCGGGTCACGTGACAAAAGAAATCGTGCTTAGATACCTTTATAAAAATTGTTATAGAGAAATATTTTGGAACTAGTTATATCAGAGAATATGAGAGGTGACAGTATTTCATGCAACAATGAATTGCACCTTGTTGCGCAATTCATTGGTAACCCACATAATAACAGCCTACTCTCCTTTTTTTCAGGCTCGAAGGTGGTTTTCAGGCACAAACTCCTGTATCTCGACGTGGACAACTTCTGTGCTGTGATTAAAGTTACTCCAAAGCTTCCTAATCGTGGTTAGTGTTCATGTTTTCTTGCAAGCTATGTGTCAATGATTACTATCTCAATAGTGATCTCTCGCAAGTGTTTGAATACTATTATTGTTCACTTCGTATAATGGCGTACGCTACATAGCAAGTTTTAAATTTATAGAGTCGTTGCAACTCCATATAGCCTGCTTTCTTTGACTGCAATTTCGTTCCATAGGTCTTCGTAAAAGATCAGCGTGTCATTGTGATTATTCCGTGATATTGCTCATATGTTTGAGCTAAGCTTACGGATTATGTTGCGTTTCTCCCAAATTGGCATATCTGTATTAGACCATTGAGAAGCAGTCTACTTTACAAAGTACACTTCCTTATTCGGGAACAAAAATTGATAAAATAATAATCTGATTTTCTCACTGGAATTTCGGGGGTCGAGGAAGGCAGCTGCTAACTTGGCATATTGATTATGTGTTTTTTTTCATTCCAAGGGTCATTAATCGTAAGTAAAACAAGTGCCCGCTGAACGGACGTGGTCCGTATTTATTTTATTTGGTTTGTTTCAGGTTTTACAATTTTTGCGTTAAATTAGAAATTGCTTGTGCTTCAGAAAAAAACAATATATTCCTTGCACAGCGCGAGAAGAGTGTAGAGTGCAGAGCTTTACTGGGAGGTGTAACATGTGCTTTTTACAGTACAATGGGACTTCGTGGGAGTACACACATGCCTAATGTTGTGCGCTGCCTCCTAGATGGAACCCGCTATTTCCTATAAAAGAATGCTGTTTTTTTTTCTCTGTTATCTGAAGCTCACGAGGCTCCGACAGATTCTGTGAATATGCCAGAGTCCGTTGACGTTTCCATAGTCACTGCTGTCTCTAAGATGTCTCTCTGCTGCTGTCTCTCTCTCTTAGAAGGAGAAGAGAAATGATGATGGCGCAAAGGGTGCTTTCTGAGAACAATAAAAAATGAAAAAATGGGGGATTATTGTTTAAGTTTTAGTTTCAGTTTTGTTTTGTTAAGGCCAAATACAAACGCACAGTTGCTATACTGCCGCACCAGAACAAAGTAGTATTTATGTTACGTAACCACGTGACTATCCAGTGGAAAGAAAATGAGAAAAATATAGTGACATTACCAACTCTCCTCGGCTGTAATATTGGCACGGAACTGGCTGAGCTCCTCAAACATGCTGCTAATAACTAGAGATATTTCATCACTGAGACGTAGTGGTGAATGCCCACAATTATCCAGATGATTCAAATGCTTGCAGACAACACATACGGGATCTGCAACTGCACTGTATGTTTCAGCAGACATCTTACGCGTTGACTGTTGTCCTTCAGTAGCATAATATCAAGACACTCAATTACAGTTCTTGTCGCTAAAACAAGTGTCACGAAAAGTCTAGCGTCCGCTGTGCTCCATATTCAACTCATTCATACCTACATTTTATTTCCCAGAGCTTAGAGAACAATGCATGTATGCCACAATACATTGAAATATATTGTAGCAAAAAGTGTGACGTTACGTTTTCGATAAGGCGTCAGTGCTTCAATACTTTGATTGAACCAAGATGACCTTTGTATTTCTTTAGCAAAAGTCTAGCGTACTCTCCATTCTCGCACCTCACCAGCTTTCTATTGCTACCTCTTGGGCCATTGTGCTTTCTAAAGTACAGTATTATAACTACTGCGAAACTTAAGAAACTCCATGAAAACTTGTTTGTGTCGTAGTATATTGCATTTATTTAAATTCACAAAAGCTTAATTTAATTCAACCAGTAATTCTTTTAAGGTCTTTAATGAGTTAAACTTCCAAACTCCACCATCTGTCCTATACAATAGATATATTTCAATTGGCTTTCAATGTTCATCTAATGATTAAAGGACACACTTATGAAGCCTGTTGTTTTGGCACCGTCACGACGTCATAACTTATAACAGAACTGTTTTATCTAAAATTGGAGCAGGGCTTCATTCATGCTGGAAAGGACATCAGGGAATGCAATTTTCTTAAACACATGGCTGAGCAGCACTACGAAGTACTGGGGTTGCTTCAATGGACTGCGGTTCTAACAACGAAAATTATTCTTTAGCGAAGCGAGATAATGTTGAGAATATGTATTTTGTTAAAGCGTTTCAGACCACGTGAGTCAACAATTTAAAATTAGCTTTATATGTTTATGTGAAGGAAATTAATAATCATTCTTATGAAACACGCTTTATCATACTATTTTTTACTCATCCGAATGACGGCTACATTAACTATTATTTAAATGGCACCTTCCTCATTGAAGTATCACATTGTCATCAATAGACACGTTGAAATAATATGGCCTTCTTTATTTGACTAAACAACTCACCACGCCGTCAAAGTTCACCAGATTGCACCAATGTACATGTCTGGCTGACAACAAGAAGTTCCCGGATTCAAACTTGACCACCGACTCTTCAGATGTCAACTTCGGGCTAAGTTGCCAATATAAGCACCAATCCGACTTTCATTGAATTCATTGAGCGATGACATTAGGCGCGGACTCTCTAGAGCAAGCGGCCACGCGCCGAAAACTCAGATTTGTATTCTCAGATGGATATATAGCCATAGCGTCAAATCTATCTTGCGCTGCCTGAGGAAATGCTGGCAAGTTGATGCCTGACTGACGGGGCAAGTCAGATCCATCTTCACGCAAAACTACAATGTCGTCGAAAATGGTACATCTGAAAGTGTTGTCAGAGACACTTTTATATAAGTTACGTGCACTCACTAAGGCTCATGAAGTTGAGGTAGTTTGTCGCAGCCTCAGCAAACACAAATATGTGGTTAAGTAAATCAGAATGCGTCTTATGATAAAATAACATCTGGGTGTTCGCTCTTGCAGTTATACAAATATCTTAAGGCGGTAATACTTCCAATTTAACTGCACTCGATGCCATGGTAGTATTTGTTCAGTGTGCGTTTTTTTTTTCAACTCTCAGCAACAAGCCTGGTAATGGGCTGCGGCGAGCGCTAGACGATAACAAATTAAACGAATTAGTTGTTTGGTACGTCCTGTACTCTTGCTCCTAGGTTTCTTTACGGTGGCAATCCTACCATGTTACTCTTGCATTCGGCTTTTTCTTAAGACAGTGTTTCTTACGATAAGGTGTTCTTTTCTAGACGTGACTAAGTACGCTTTCGTTTTTGCAGGACAGGCTTGGTATGACTTGAGAATGTGGAATGCCTCGCTTGTAAGATATCGCCGCCCCTCGATAACCTGTTCACACTATTTTCAACTTGAAGCAAAGCATGGACGCCTAGCTTATGAGCCTGTATGCCAAAAACTCCTCTATCAAGTGCATCCGCATCAACAAAAAAATCTTCAAGGACAGAAGACGTCGCAGACATACAGGAGCACGAGCGTGTGAACTGTCAAGCGTACTGCGGAAGTATGTAGCACATCACAGCTTTATCTAGTGGTTCACGAGACCCACTGGAGGCAGAGATGTATAACTTGTCTAGCCTGTGCACTAAATGCCCCTTGGTAAAAAGAACGAATCGTTGTCGCATTTCCTATGTGTGATATAATACGCACAGCACTTACAGAGTTTGCCGCAGATTTCAAGCAAAACACAACGGGCAACATAAATATGCCGAGCTTCACAGATACGCAAACAACAGGTTTGAAATAATGTACGAAATCACTCACAATGAAAGCAGAAACTGTCAGCATACAGCCGAAGTTAACGACTGGGAAATTCGTATTGTTGCCGCAGGGTGATATAGGATAAAAATGAACTTCTAGACGGTGCAGCATCACTGAAGGTGTTCGTATGTGGTGGCTCATAAAAAGGCGAGACTAGGTGATGGTAGTGCCACAGAAAATATCTTACAGGTTTTGAGCGAAAGCATCACATTATCACCTTGATTACGCCAGCTGCATGGTAAGGTAGGTAGGCAGGTAAAAACAATATTTCTGTCTTTTGAAAAGAAACTGGCAAGGGGACAGAGATGAGGGAAGGTTGCTACAGTTGGTAGTCCTACGCAATCCTGTCTGCCCAATCGAGGATGACCTTCTGAACATCAGTTTTTAAGTTGCGCCAGGCAGCCTCTCACTGCTCCTCATCATTTACTATTTTAAATGCAAAGCATTTCTTAGCGAACTTCGGCGACTTTGAGCGTATCTATCTATCTATCTATCTATCTATCTATCTATCTATCTATTTATCTATCTATCTATCTATCTATCTATCTAGCCGCCTATGACTTTTCCCTCTCCTGGCCGTTTAGAGGATGGTATAGATACCAAACTTGGTATGGCATAACATGACTGTATGTAGAACATATTCGACTTGTGATGACATGAAAATCATAACATGTGTGTCATGAATGTCATGATATACATTTCGTAGTCCTGCAGCTTTTGGGGTGGTTTTGTTCACATGGCATGTTGCAAAACTGGTATGATATGACAAGATTGCATAGCGAACACAAGCGACAGAGCTTAACATGAAAAACATGACATGCGTCTGATGTAACAACATGACTACATGCCACGCTCATGATGCACTCACGGCTCTCTTGCTAGTGTCCCATATACCAAATTTGGTGTTACGGTACGTGAATAGATGACGAAGGTATGTGACTGGTGACATTATGATAATCATAAGATGCGTGTCATGTAACAACATGACTAAATGCCACGCTCATGATGCGCTGGCGGCCATTTCGGTAGCTTCACTTATACCAAATTTGGTATTACGGGACGTGATGGATGACGCAGGTATGATAGTAAAGCAAACATGGTAAACATGAGATGCGGGTCATGCAACAACATCTACGCTCATGATGCGCTCGTGGCTGTTTCGCTAGCTGCACGTGTACCAAACGCGATATTACGCTACGCGAACGGACGGCATAGGTAAATGACACATCCATACATAACAATCACGACATGCGCGTCATGTAAGAACATGACTACACCACACTCGTGATGCACTTGCGGCCGTTTCACTAGCTTCACATATGCCAAATTTGGTATCACGTGACGCCAATGGATGACGAAGGTATGTGACTGGTAATCATGAGACATGATAATCATGAGATGCATGTCATATAAGAACATGACTACATGCCACAGTCAAGGCACCAATACATTTGGACGTGACACGGTGTGCGTGCTCACCGGCGTTCATTTCATCGCGTCAAGCTGGCGGTGCACGCCAGGCGCTGGTACTGCCATATACTCGAAGGCGCCTGCCGCGCTGCGTAGCTTTGACGCATGCGCATTTTAACGCGTCCGGCCACCCTCCTTGACGAAGAAGGGATACGCAGTAATGTCTGCGTAAAGATTTGGCGCGAAATGCAGCATGTCGCAATTCGCACCGGTTGCCGTCTGGCGCCGCCGACGGACGCTGGTCGTGCCGGTCGCGCCTGGCGTCCGACTATAGAGTGTTCGCGTTTTGCTAACGTAGCGTCGCTGTGCCCAGCGTGCGCGCCAGTCAACGCTACATTGGAGTATGTGGGGTTGACTATTGTCGCGGCCATTTTGCTAGATCCACATATACCAAATTTGGTGTTACGTGACGTCAATGCATGATGAAATATATGACTGGTGCTAACATGATAATCCTGACACGCGTGTCATGTAAGAACATGACAACATACCACGCTCATAGCATGCTCACAGCCATTTCGCAAGCTCCACATATACTAAGTTTGTTATAGCGTGAAGTGAATAGATGACGAAGGTATGCGACACATCCAAACATGACAATCATGACATGGAAGTCATGTACGGCATCATTTGCCTGCACCTCGTAACGTTGTGTCGATTTTAAAGTGACATATCAAAATTTCTCATTCATGCTTCGCATATCATCAATTCCCATTGTATGTGAGATCTGCGAATTTTTTTTTCGGAATGACGTGGAGGGCGGGTGCTTAGGGCATCCCCACATTATATAATTATGGTCTGCTTTCCTTGAAGAACAATATTTACAGGAAGAGGATGGGTAAAGAGAGGGATACATGAGTTGAAGAAGGTGACGACAGGGAAATGTTAGAGTCTGCAGCTGTAGCCATAGTATTTCGTGCCTTCGCGGGAATTTGTTTAGTAGCGGCGGTAATGTTCGACGAAAGAGACGGCAGTGGTTTTAGTTGTCGCTAAATGCAAGAAGAAGATTCAGTGCACCAAGCGGTGCCACTGTCGAAACGGAACTTCGCTCTCCCAACGCCTGTGCCCGGACCATAAGTTTTCGGGTGCTGGCGTTAGCCACTTCTTTAACGGCAAGGCCTGCATGCGCGGGAGTTCATATTGAAGCGGTGTCTTGTTGCGGGGCATAGACCAGCAGGAGGGAGAGTGTTGTTTTAGACACCCTACCCAGTCCTAAATTGTAGATGACAGTGCTGTGATCGCTGATAATAGGCACATAACTTGAAATTGTAAGGGCTAGAGCAATGGCTGCTTCCTCCACCTCTTGAGGAGCTGAAATAGAAGCAGGAGTAGTTATCGGACCTTCTGAGTTGACAACTGAGAGGGCAAAAAAAGGACGGTTACTGTACTCGGCAGCATCGACGAAGAGCCCTTCTTTAGAAGTAGAAAATTGTTTTTCAAGAATTCTTGCACGTAGTCGTCACCATTGCTCGTGGAGAACAGGGTTCATGTTTTTAGGCAGCCGTGGAATATGTAAATAATGTGTATTTCATGCGGAATAGTGCGCTCGGTATTAGTGATTGAAGAGTCTCTGATACTGGGAGTTTCAGGTGTCTCTCTCTGGGTTTGTGTGTTGATGAGACGGCGTATTGTAGGTGCAGGTATGCTTCAACTAACAGAGTTACGGTGTTGAATGTACCTGTCGCAACGAGCCGTGCGGTGCACGTTCGAATGGAGACCCCAAAAGCGAATCGGTGGATTTTGTGTAACGGCGCGTCGACGTCATTTTCTTCCTAGTTTAGAAGGGACAGATAAGGGAGAGAATATGTTAGAATATTAAGGACAAAGGCTTAGACGAGGTGGAAGAGCTCTACCTCTCAAAGCCCTTTATACTTATTATTTATTCGTCCTATAAAAATTGGGATGTGGTCCTTAGCTGTCTGAAGTGCCTGAACCATGTTTGTGTTTAGTGTAATTCATTGCATGTGTAGTCTAAACACCCTGAGCCTGTAAGCTTTGGGTTCGGGTGTATTCTTCAGAGTTATTTGTACACCGAAATTCTGCTTTCTAGAGCTCCGAAGGGCAGGGTGGAGGATCAGTTTGGATTTAGTGGGTGCACAGACCCAACTCACGTTACCCGCACAAACCACCACTTCGTCAGCGGCAATCCGCAGAGTCGCTTTATTTGAACCATAAGCGCTCCTTCTCATAAAGAGCATATTGTAATGTGGATTTGGTGGAAATTTGAGGTCTAGTATTGATATTAGGGTTCTCGCCAGTGGCATCATGCTGAGTTTAAAAAGCCGAAGGGATGACACTGATCATTCATGTCTGCCGAACTTCCCCATGGAGTAAGAGCACGAATGTTCGGATTGAATTTGAACAGAGGCCGAGGGTTCGAGAAAAACGCAGATATGTATTTCTGCATTTTCTGAAGAACGCCTATAGCTGCATGTTATAAATAACTTGTGCACTACTCTAAATAATCCTCTCATGTGTTCGTTGTTAACACGTTATCGCACTGTGGTCGGCCTAGGTGTTATTAACCTATAAAATATGAGGTTGAACAAAACACAGCACCCCGAAAGCAAATAAAACTGAAGAGGACAATGAAAATATGCCCCAAGTTCTGTAAAAATGGCGGGCCAGTCAAGATTATGTGCTAGGGTCGTAATAAGGTGAACAGGTCTTAAAAGAGCTCTCACTAACCCATGCTCTGTGAGTGTTTGTCATGGAGTGCCATTTTTTGTGACCCGGTGGCACGCCAATCAACAGGTGCCCCCCCCCCCCTCCCTTATTCAAAGAGTTGTTTTTAGAACCACCAAAAGCTGACGGGGCTGTTCACAATCAAATGTTCGCTCTTGACGTTTCACCTCTTGTAGCTTAGAAGTGCGGCAGCTTGGGCTAGTTGGTATGGCATGACGATGGTTATAGCGCGAGAACAAAGCTACGACACAAAGACAAGAAATACACGAAAGACACAAGTGCTAGCGCTCGTGTCTTTCGTGTCCTTCTTGTCTCTGTGTCGTCGTTTTGTTCTCGCGCTATAACTCTCGTCCTCTTGTAGCTGTCCTGGCGTCGCAGGGGCACAATTCAGGGGACTGACAGAAGCCCTGACAGAAGCACTGACTAGATGCCAAACTGATGATGCGCTCACGGCTGCTTCGCTAGCTTCACATATCCCAAATTCGGTATTACGTGACCCCAATGGATGAGGAAGGTATGCGACTGGTGCAAACATGATAATACTGAGATGCGTGACATACGAGAACATTACTACATGCCACAGTCAAGGTGCCAATACGTTGCGACGTGACGCGGTCCACGTGCTCGCTGGCCTTCCTTTCACCGCATCACGTGGCGTTGCCAGGCCAGGCGCCGGTCCTGCCATAAACTC